TGTGTGGAAAAGGTTTACTTTTTTTAGGGTTAGTTTTTAAGAACTTTGTGCTAGCTCCTACAAAAATGATTTCAGAAGTTCAATTATATCTTTTAGTGAATTTTATGAAACAGATCTACTGAATTCCCATGCTTTAACCTTGTGAGCTTCATTTATGTGAAGCCTTTTAGTTAAATTTAAAAAGGTAGTTTCAATATTAATATTACTGAGTTGTTAAAAGTGATAAATTTTCCTGGTTGTAATAACATTAAAAATTTACATACTACTTTTCCATTAACTTCATGTGAATGTGAGTGGACATATTATTCATTTTGGCGCCTGAAACATATATGTTAAGCACCCTGGTATAGTGCCAAACAATAATAACACCGATTTGGTGTATCATTTTTATAAATAAAATCCTAAGTTGTATTTGTTATATTGGCAAATGTTTTTGCTTTTTAATTGATTTTTTTTAGTTTTTATGCAATTATCAGCATAAGATTTATTAAAATGAATGTTTTCAAATTTTATTTTTTTTAACAAAATGTGGCATTAAGATTGCATATCTAAATACCTCTTTTTATAATTTAAAATTACATATTTAATATACAAATATTTTATTATAATTAGTGTTATTTTATAATATATTTGTTAAAATAAAAATATAAAATTTTGCATTTTGTAAGTTATTTTATTAATAATAATGTGAAAATTTAGTTTTTAATAATAGATCTGTAAATAATGTGTAAAAATAAAATTTTATAACTTAAAAGTAAAGTGCCTCGATGATAACCTTGCATATTTTTAATTAAAGAAAGGCTCTTATAAGATTAATCTAATAGACCTCTTTTAATAATAGACCTCGGTTAATCTTGACAGATGAACCGAAGAGGTCTTCCATGGTGGGATGTATTTTTTTGCTTTTCAACTAACGACTAGAGACACCAAAAAAAAAAAAAAAATTCCTCAATATTTCCTACATGCCAACTATTATAGTTCAAAACTTGCTCAATGTGCTAACTCAAATGCTTGTAAGATAGCTTTAAGGGAAGGAGGGTGAGGGACACCCCCCACCTTTCGGGACGGCCCTGGGGAGGGGGTAAAAGATTTCTCCGAAAAATCAGATGTACCCAAATAATTTTCTAGGTCTGCCCCTGCTCTAGTAAGTGCAAAAGCAGCATTTTGTATAGAAAACAGTAATGTACTTGTACACAAAAACACATATACATACATATACACCTATATGTATGTATATGTGTTTTTCACGTATGTTTATACACAAAGCCGGTTCGTGTGCATTTTTTAGTGTGTGCAAAAAAAAAAAATTGATTCTTAATTAATTTTTAAAAAAGCCAGAAAAAAATAATTAACTTAAACAAATTAAATTTTCATCTTCATAGTGTTGATAGAGCAAAAGTTGCCCTAACAGCAGTTCATGAATTTCATACTTTTTTTATACATATAAAGAATAAAAATATAATTGAATTTTTAGTTGAAATAAAAGTATTGAAATTTTGAAATTTTATAGAATAAATAAAAGTTTTATAAAATATATATGTATTTAAATCAAAATTTTTTATTGTTTTGGAAATGGATTATCATTTCTGTGGCTTCTGGTTTTCATTAGAGAAAATTCAAGCTTTAGCTCCCTTATACTTAACAACTTAGTTGCTTTGCTCACAATAAAAATAATTAAATGACTGTTCAGTTTTTTTAATGTTTAATCATAAGCGATTTCTTTCAAAAGCAACTTCTCCGATAAACAATAAACAAATTTTGAAATTGGAAGTCTTCTTTTCAACTTGATTCATTTGCCAAAACTTTCAATCAGAGGCGAGGGCTTGACAACCGGAGTGCAAATGTTTTTTGAAAAAGCGCTGGTAGGTTCCTGGAAGCGGAGTATGGGGAGACTCTTCAGAAATTTTCCCTCTGAATGTTGGCAACATTTACAATAAAAAACATCAATTTAATTTACATGCTGTTCTAATACATTGTCATATTTAGCAAGTAGCTTTATGAGTTCGAGAAAATTACCTTCAGGAATCCCTACGACCAAATTCTCGTGTCCATCAAAGCTAATTGCCTAAAAACAATACTCCATCTATGAGTCTTTAAAATCCTCCTGTGTTTTTCTATCTGTCTTTTCCCTGAGGCTACAAGCTCTTCCAAAACCGTTTTATCATTAAATATGCAAAACTTTGTTAAAAATAACTGTCTCACAGATTCTTCATGGCTTTTTGATGACTTGTGCTTCTCAATTCTGGAGACACCTTTAGTAAAATTTGAACAACCTTTTCGACAATTGCTCCAAGAACAGTTTGCTCTATTATTGCTAAAAAGCCAGCAGGCAAAACAAAACATAGCGTTAACTCTTGGGGAATAAATCAACCAGTGATAATTATAAGTGATAAAGTGCCTTTTGTGAAATCATGAAAAATATCATAGAGTCCTTGCTGGCACGGCCCGTATTGTAGTAAGTCTAGAATAACGGCAGGTGTGATGCTTTCATTACAAAATA